AATTGAAACCACAGGTAAAATTGAACAACAACATATACCGTGCAACTACATCGCTGTGGTCTTGTTGACAGAGTAGCTTCAAAAACCCCTCGACACCACACGCTTTAATCGGGCGTGATTGTGTCTGAAACTTTACAGTCCTGTTGACAGAGTAGCTTCGAATTCCCTCAACACCACATGCTTTAATCAGGCGGTATTGTTTCTTTCACTTTACAGGGATATCCCTTCAGGTGGTGCACTGGAGCTGTCCATACCCACTAAAGCATGCGCGGGGACTATTGCCGAGATAAACAAACTTGAACACGTGGTACTTACCATCAGCTTTATTCACCGACGCCGTGGTGACGTCAGCATTCTACTGATGTCACCGTCAGGGACGAAGAATGAAATGCTTTCTACTCGACATTACGATGACTCCAAGGAGGGTCTTGATAACTGGGGCTTTATGACCGTACACTGCTGGGGTAAGTGTTGTCTATAAGATAAAATATTCGCAGTGGTGGAGTGCATACCAATTAGGTGTCGCGTAATTTCACAAAGCTTGTTCGGAAGGCTTGTATAACACTGAGTTTTAAATCAATGTTTAACTCTATACAGGTGAAAATCCTCGCGGTTTCTGGCAGCTTAAGCTCATTGATAATCCGCTGAACGAGATTGGGGACCGTGTGTTGAACGGTTACGGTACGCTACACCTGGACACGAGCAAACAAGATACGGATGTAGAAGATTTGGAGGAACAAGTTATTGACGATCAAACCAAGCAGCAGCAAACTCGCGTTCAGCAGCTGAAGATGCAGGTATTGTGGCGAAAATACGAAAGGTGGTTTTCACCGGATGCTATGTTGTGTTTTTATTTACAGTTACAACCTTTTTACAAATTGTTGTGCTTGAAAGTAATCGTTGTCTTCCCGCGCTTTGTAGTCACCGTTTCCCTGCCCTTTGGCGTCGGTTACGGTTTCGCGCCGTTGATAATAATCCTTGTTTTCCTGCGCTTAGAAGTAGTCACCACTTACCTGCCTGCACCTGATTGGTTACTGCTTCCCGCGCTTGAAATTAATCCTTGTTATCCAGCGCCTAGCGGAAGTCACCGTTTTCCTGCGCTTGGCGCCGGTTACAGTTTCCCACGCTTAAAAGTAATTATTGTTCTCTTACCCTTAGAAATAGTCACCGTTTAGCGACCTACACCAAGTCGGTTACAGTTTCTAGGCCCTTAGAAATATTCACCGTTTACCTACCTACACCAAGTCGGTTACAGTTTCCAGGCTCTTAGAAATATTCACCGTTTACCTACCAGCACCTAGTCGGTTACAGTTACATATATTTGAGGTGGTCAATTTTTTCGCGCTCCTCACACAACCTTTGCTTATCTGCGTCTGACTCTAATAATAATAATTGTAGTAACTGTTATTTACTATTTTCTTTGAACAGAACGACCATATTGATTTTCCATATCCCCCGGGAGTTAGACGAAACGAGGTGCGGCACCAGAACAGCTCGGAAATGAGTGAGCAAAGCGTCATAGACGATCTTTATAATCTCACAGAAAGCGATGTGGCTAGCGCCACGGAGTACGTTTACGATCGAAGCCGAATTGCGTACCCCGAGGGATCGGGAAGTGGGGATTTTTCTGGCAGCGACGAGGATTTCTCAGACCCTGGACTTGACCTAAATCCACAAGAATCGGGAAGTGGGCGAGAGCCTAAAGCTTATGTTAGTGAGGGAATTCCCTTGGAAGAAATACCCGACGAGGAAATGGATGCCGAGGATCGAGACCACGTTTCAGACCCCTCGGATTCTAGCGGGACATCCCAGGATGATTTCCCCGATGATGAAGATTTTATCGACGAAGACACTATGGATGAGAACAACGGTTTTAAAGATACTCTCCGAGAAACACCATCTGTACTTAAGAATAAGAAATCTAGAGGGAGAAAGAGGCACTCGAAGACAACCTTTGCCAAGAAAAGTGTTGTAGTGAACAATAATTCTAATACGATAAAGAAAAAGGTCCAAGTTGCGGCTGAGGAAACCGCAACCCAGCGTGTTCAAGTAAACGCGGGCTACGAAAATCCCGAGATTCCATGTCTCGCCAGCGGCTGTTCTGGGGTTCTATTAAAATGGGTGGTCACGTTTTATGGAACTGAAAATTAATCACATTTAGTATAGCGATTTTTATTAATTTATCTGTTTTATAATTCTTTCGAACAGAAACATCACCACTAGGACCCTATACCATCTGGAAGTTTTGCTAAATTTTGATAAACGGCTTGGATAGGGCGTGCCTTCAAATTAGACCCTGAATGACGAATTGGCTGAGCCATGAATTCGATATAGGAATTTTTTTAAATTGAAAGGCGCTCTTTCACAGAGAGTTTCCTTCTTCAAGCCGATTATCAAAGTTATGAAAACCATTGTTTGCTTTAGGGGGACTCTGCTTCGGAAAAAGAACGTGGTTTTTTAACAATACTTTGCTCTGGTTCACCGCACAGTGAATTGTAGAATATTTTCTGACAAGTTTTGTACTGTGCTAACGAACATACCGCTACCTCATTCACACAAAAGCTAAAACATGTGTCAAGACTGTTTTGTTAAACACGGTCTTCAATTTATATCTTTGTAGGAGCCGCTCAAATCGATGTTTGTCGACTTCATATTTTGCACATTTAAAATACAAGTTAGTGACTACCTCCCCTCCTATGGACAATTCAGTTTTTCAGTTCTCTGCGTCTGATTTTCATTTAGTTAAACCCGGTCTTAGAAAGTTGTGCTGGTTTGAATGGGGTAGGAGCCCAAAAGCAATCAAATCAAGTGTAAACTGTAGGACGTTTATTTCACAGAAAAAGCACGCAGTGATTTCATACACATAGGTGTTATCCCCCCCTTAGGAATACAAAACCGTAAACTAAGTGCATCCTTGACCATGAAGCTCACTCTAAAACACCCAAGTTCTGTCTCTATTCTGCATTAATTCCTGAAATTTTCTCCAATATTTTATCTTTGTGACAAGGAGGACTTAGCCAGTTCGTGAGATTGGTAGCCCACCTCAATCAGTGTGTAGAGAGTACAGTTTTACATGATTGGTTTCCATCGTTTCCATAGTGAATCCACTCCATTCCCTTACCTAGCTTGCAATTTTTTTGCAGTGAGTGTCACATTAAACAAAGTTGTTTTTAAGAGGTGTTGACTCATTTCATATTTGACTAAAGCTCTGGTGTTTAAGATAAGAGAGCAATTTACAAAGGTTACCTCCGAAAGCGATGAACAAGTGTCGAGCATGGCGTACAACTAGTCGATCGTGAGGTAAGGGGTTGTGCAGTGCCCTTGAACAAGACACTTAAGCTTCGATCCCAATAGAACAAATCAGCACCAGCGAATTATTAGTATGTATGTATAGATGGATGTACGAATTTGCGACATTTAGACAGTTTGGCCCAGTTCAGTTCAAAGCTGGTTAAAATGGGGGCCTGTGTAAACAATGACAACGCGAGACCACAACGCCAGGAACTACGTTTCCTACTCTTTGCGAGAAGTGCATGGGTTCTTTGACGTCCCCTGCTTACCAGTACCGAGAAGAGACAGGACAAGTTGCCAACGGGTTATCGTCCTTGTTGAAATACTAAATGTAGCGCCTTAGATAAACGAACACAATGACTACTAATTGCGAGCAAGATTATCAGTTTCGTTTGGAGTTATCGACAACGAGTGACACCAGGTCGCATACGTCATGCGACAACAACAATAACTTTGTAGGCGTCAGGATTACATGTAATTACGTAATTGTCTTTGTTCGTGGTTTTCTTTCTTTTTCTTAGCTTAGTTTTTAGCGTTTTCGTAGTTCTTTAATCTTTGCTAATTATTCTTATATTTTGAGCCAAACTTCTTCCCGATTCGAGGAAGTACGAAGTCTAGCCCAACCATGATTTTACGCAAACAGTGGGCCTCGGGTTTTCTCTATAGAGGGCTGATTCTCTATAAGAGAGTTGAACATAATGACCAGCTCCCAGTTGGGTAGTTTGCTAAGTTGGTAGAGCATTGCACCAGTATCGCAGAGGTCATGGGTTCAAATCCCATACAGGCCTGAATTTATTTCCATTACTGCTGAAGTAGTGTTCATCATGTTCATGTTCATATATTGCCTTCATATTCAACTAATTCTTTTAATCCACAATGCACATATGATTTCATATATTCAAAGTCATTACTAACAGTGGAAGGACGTTTATTTGAAACAAATGTTAGTTAGCTTTAGACAGTGTTCCAAAATAATCAATGTTCGTATGAAAGGTCAAGCTAAATTGAGGTTTGTTTAGGGCGCGGTTAAACAACGGCTAAACTTTGTTTCAAGAACTGGCCCTTAGGCTAAGCTTGTGTGTGTCCATGTACCGGGTGAAATACAAATGAAAAGTAACGAACCTGAACTGTAGCCGCGGTGACGGAGGTGTGTCAGAACTAAATAAATTAAAGTTTTTTATTATTCCTTACCGTGACTGGCAGAAGATAGAATTTTAATGTTTAAACTGAAAGATTTAAAAGCTTGCTGGTTCTACATTTATTCTTTCCATAAGTTTGGGTATTTTGCCGGTCTTAGGGAAATGAACAACGATCAATTAAGGGGGAACCTAACTTTGTCTTCACTTTCGGTATAATTACTGTCATGTAACAAAGTGACTAAATACAAATGGATACGGTGAAAATGTCAAACGATCTTAAATCAAAGATGAATAGGAGCTTAACATCAATAAGCACTGAAATTTCTCCTCATCTGCTATTCTTTCGCCCAGCGCGCTCTTACAAAAATCGTGCCGATGACCAATATCACAATATATTTACAGTACGTCTGCTGCTGAGTGTGATTTTTGTAGCGGTGATTATTTCCTGCATGGATAAGTTAAAGAGCTGAGGTTCACCCAAGCGTTTTTCTCAAGACAACCCACAACCTGCTATCCACCATGACATACACCGTGCATCAGACTGCGTAAGTAGATGGCCATGGTCATGAATTTATTCAACAAAATTGGGCCTCGATTTCTCTAACAATTTCGCTGGAAGTAAAAAATGAAACCAGTGCGATGGCGTGTTTACATCACGTTGTTAATCCTCGCTTCGGAAATCGCCGTCTTACTTGGAAAACCTGCTAAGAAATCGCGGAAAAGTGGAAGAAGAATCTTTGACACGACGCCAAAGCTAACGCGAAGAGAATGGGAAGAACTTCACAAGTTTGAAGATGCGCTAAAAAACGACAATGGAGAGTTAATGTTCACGAACTCCTGGGCGCTCAAACTCGATCCCGCGGAGATTAAAGTCGCAGACAGGATTGCTAAGAAACATGGTTTTATAAACTACGGCCAGGTAGGTAAACTCGAGTTTTTCTTTATATTATTCTGCGGGTGTTCTAAGCTTTGAGTTCAAACGTCAATAATTTCTCCCGGTGGCATTCGGTTATTAAGAGTGGATTTTGTCATTAAGATTCCTTTTTTGAAACTAGAAATTGTGATTATGGACTTTTTAAGATCATTTCCAGTAAGATGTCTCGCTTTGCTTCGATTTCTGTGGAATTTAAGACATATTCTTAAAATCTTTATTTCAAAAGCGCCATGCCACTTATAAATCAACAGTTGGTTTTCTTAATTGATCACCAGTCATGTTTTCTTAATTGTTGACTTCTACTTTACAATGTAGACTGAATATTAAGAAGTACGTAATTAAGTCTTAAAAATTTACTCAGCTCAATTTTGCACTGGAAGATTCACTTAAGAAAGCAACCAGACTTGTTCAAAATGAGTCGTCCAATTTTCGCTACAGTAATCATTGAAATTAATTCTGCAACGTTCTTCATCCTTAGAATGCCTCTGTTGCATCCACTAGATAAACAAACTATGTTATTTTTGTTTGTACTAATGACTGATTTTCTACTTCAAAAATATCATAAACAAATTGGGAAAAAAATGCCATGCTAATTAGCATGTGGGTATATTTAAAAACTTAGACTAATTCCAAATTGCTATAGTTTCATCAGCACCTCAGATTCTTATCACAAGTAAAGCAATGATACTTGCTGATGAGCTACAATTTTGGCAATTGCAGAAAAGGAAAATTTGAGCTACGAAGCCACACTTTGATGCAGGGGAAAATTATAGAGAGTTTTTCTTCCCGTGAAGGAATCTAATCACAATTTTTAATGAAAGTTTCCTTCCAGTTGCCTTCTTATGTATAGGTCATGGTGAAATAAGTTGCCGTAGATGCAAGTGGCATATATGGTAGCTCTCGAGTGCTACGAAGACTTGAAAAGCTCATCATTGTTTCTCAGCATTTCTTCGAGTCAGTTCTCAAGTTCAAAGTCGTGCGTAGTCAAATCATGACTGCTGAATATTGTTTGGAATAGAGATTCATGCATGTACTGTGGCCGTTCAATTGTTTGGCTTAGATGAAAACATGCATAATTTGGGGGTGAGATCTATGGCTTTTCCCTTCACATTTGAGGGAAGTCACCGCATCTAAAAGACCTTTTAAAAACCAACGGAAAACATGAGGAAAACCAAAAAAATTTCAACTGATATTCTCTTGGGGAAAACTCAATTTAATTCAAGTAATTTACGATGTGCCAAACCCAGAACTCTTAATTACCAAACTTGATCTTAAGGTATGAATCTCTGAAGAAAATTAGAGTACAATGTAAATAATCTCTTTATTATAGATATTTTTTTTTTTGTAATTTCATACTAGGTTGGCTCTCTCACAGGATATTATCATTTTAAACATGAAGGCAAAGGCTTAAGACACAAGCGTGATGTGCACGAAAAAACCAAGCTACTGCTATCTGAAGATGAAGTAAGCACAACTTGCTTCATTATGTTGTTGTTCTATTTCCATACCCAAGATGAATTCGTTTGGTGTTTGCGTTCGAAGTAAGACTAAAGGTGCTCAGCGCCCTTTTGTAACTCCTGGTGAAAAAATGGCGTATGTTATAGCGCAAGCTTCCATAGGTCAGTTGACAAATCAACTGACTGAAAATCGTAACTTATTTGGAATCAAACCCTCACTGGAACTCAGATCTTGTTTGTTCCACACCCGTGATAAATGGATCTTGGATCTCTTGTATACATCAGTAATTATATGGCACGTGGCAAACGATCTTATTAAAAAAGTGATCTTTGCATCTTCCAGGTTGTGTGGGCAGAACACCAACATATTTTAGTAAGATCTAGAAAGGATGGAATCCCATCTGATCCTAAGTTTAGAGACCAGTGGTATCTTGTAAGTATATTCTTGTTCGCTGGAAGAAATTTATTCATAAGCAATTTTTCGTGGAGTTCAGTTCAGTTAACGATTTGATTGAGCCAGTTAAAACTTTGATCTGTTAAATATAAAGTAAGATAGATTAAACGGTTGATTGTAGGCTAAGGGGTCTCTAGATACAGAACTAAGCTAGAAACTCTTATGTCCAAAGATTATTTGTTACAACAACAATTCAAAGACCTCCATAAAAACGAAAAATTTGTATCGTACTTTGCACATTTTTCTGTATATAGTTAAATCAAGGGCAATCCACTGGCCCGGCTGGTGTCGATCTTGATGTGATGCCTGTTTGGCGGCAAGGGATCACGGGAAGAGGAGTGGTCATTAGTATTCTTGATGATGGAGTTGACCATACTCATCCAGATCTTAGAGATAACTTTGTAAGTCAAACAGTCAGTCTGATATTAGTGATGTTGAACGAAAGATGAAAGATAAATAACGGCTGGAAAATAAGGAAGAGGGTATTAATTCCAAAATTATCCACAAAGTAGTGAGAATGCGCCTGAAGGATTTATTTTGCGAATACAAGTCCAGCTGTGTACGTGCAACAACTTTGCTCTTTTCAAAACAGGATCAAACCCTTATACTAAAACTTTATAAAGGTCTTTTTTTTAAGAAAATCCATTTTAAGTTAACCTTTAAACTCGAGTAATCCGGTCTCTAAGGGAAAACGTGTGTTTCCTACATGTTTTGGGCAAGAACAAATAAAAACAAATAGACGAGGGACCTCCGAAAGAGAGAGATATTCACAACTTACGAATGGTTTCCATAAGAATATATCAGGCCTCTCTGGGAGATTGATCTTGTTTATAATTTTATCCATCTTTCTTGACTGCACTGAGTGAACACATCACAACTAATATGTGATTGTATGACCCTACCTTGACACAGGACCAAAAGGCAAGTTATGATTTTAACGACATGGATGCTGATCCAAAGCCAAGAGACAGCGACCCTGATAACTGGTATGTAACTCACGCGATCCTCATAGCTCGATCACAAAAACTGACAGAGAGCCTTTCCACCAAGAGGACCGCAACCGTAGATCGTGTTGCATTCGTTTTATTAACTCCTTATACCACTGACATCAGTATGCGCATTCTCCATACTGTTCTCTATACGTTTCCTAAGGTGCTGACAAGGAGAATTTGTTTAACAATCAAGAGCTTCTTTAGTTGGTGATCAATTCCTTTACTATCGTAACCTTAATTTTTGATTCAGGGGTGATTTTGTTCGGAGAAATTAGATCCTGATCCCTCTTGGAGGTCAAAAGGTTAACATTGACAATTTCTTCATGTTGTGGAAATTTTTTTATTCGAAGACAAAAACGAGCAGATCACTTGAGAAGTCCTTTTACTCCACCAGAATTACTGGCTACACACTTCATAGATAGAAGAATTTAAAAATTTCCCATAGGTCGGGCGCTAGCTCTCTACGCTATTTCTCAGACAAAAACAGCCCCGTGCTATAGTAGTGAAAGGAGTCTATTGTCGACGGGAGTGTCTGATAAAAGTCATGAGCTGAGAGTATAAGACTGTAGAGCATATTCAATATTTTTATAGAATAAAGAGGGAGAGAGGTATATAAACTAACGTATAACTGCCATTTGGAAGCTTGCCAGGTAATGATTTCGTAATCAATCATTTTTGACAAATAGGGAAGGTTACGTGTAACCCTTTCCCCCGGTTACGCTTATACGTGATATTGATTGATTTTGATTAAGTATTTTTTGACCATGAAAAATGACATGTTTCTTTTCACGTTTGTTTTCTCTACAATCTTAGTCACGGTACACGGTGTGCTGGAGAGGTGGCAGCGGTCGCTAACAACAGTGTATGTGGAGTGGGTGTAGCTTACGATGCTAATATCGGAGGTAAATATACAAAATATACTCCATGATTTTCTCGTAATTTGAAGTTGTCAATAGGTGCATTTTACCTCTTGGGTGTTTGCCTACTATAGCAAATTAATATTGAAAGTCCCGTATGATGGAGAAACAATTAAAAATATTTTCAGTAGCTCATCTAGGTTCCTTCTACATGAAGCGTATAAGAGTATTAACCCCTCCCTCACCCCTAAATAAGATGCTAGATCATTGCACGTTACACCTCAACATTTCGTCAGTTCCTCGTACCCAGTAATACTATTGGATAATGGCACTGCGAGTGGAAAAATCCCTCCCAAAAGAAAAGCATAATGACCCGGTGAGGTCTCAAACCCAGACCTTTCGAGTCCATTGCGCTTTCGCTTGGCCACCGCGTCTACCACAAAAAAAAGTGTTTGACACGGTATCAATAATTTGACAAGAACAATTTTCACTGTATTGTGTCCTAGGTGTGCGGATGCTAGATGGTCAGGCTACAGATGTGTTGGAAGGAAGTTCATTGAGTTTCCAGTCTGAATACATCGACATCTACAGTAACTGTTGGGGGCCCAAAGATGATGGAAAAACATTTGGCAAACCTGGAAAACTTGCACAAGAGGCGCTTATGCAGGGAGCTCTTAAGGCAAATTATTTATTCATGTAAACATCGTTATCAATGAAAAAATTCCAAGTAGGTTATGTCAAAGAGGAGCTTGATCCCCGCGTTAAGCTGCACCCTTGGAAATACAACATAAGAACTATTTAACATCTTACACTAAATCTATATGGGATAGAAGTACTCTAGATAGAGAGTTTATAATTTTCAAATCAAAGTACTACGTGTAAAAAGCTAAGGGGAAAAATAATTATTCATTGAGTGACGCCTATAAAGCTTGTCCAAACCGAGAGACTCTATTACAATTAATTATAAAGGACGGAAATTGTCCAAATATGTGTACTTACTAGTAAGTATTTGCCATAATATTGGTTCGTGACTCAGGCCTTAGGAATTTTAATTCAAACATTAATTTTAATTTAAATGCTTTAAAAATCATTTCGATTTGTAACAATAACTTGATCTCAAAATGGAAAGGAAGATGGGAAATGCTAATATCAATCGACCAATGAAAAACAAAATTTAACAAAAGTCATTAGTCGCCCGCTCGGGAGATTTTTGGTTCCTTATCATTGACCTACTGAAGGGAGAAAACATTTTTTAAAATAGAGTTTATTCTCAGATTTTGCTTAAATTTCATACCACATTTTGTAAGCTAACACTTAAAATTGTGCGGTAAATAAATCTGTGATTGTAATGAACACTTTACCAGGCTAAAAGGGCATTTTAAATCTCTGAAGTTCTTTAATCTATTATAATTCTCAGGGTCGTGGCGGTAAAGGTAACATCTACGTTTGGGCGACCGGCAATGGAGGTCTTACAGATGACGACTGCAACTGTGATGGCTACACTACCAGTATATATACCATATCGGTTGGGTGTATCGGTGATCATGGTCTCTCCGCCTACTACACCGAGTTGTGCTCCTCCACGCTGGCTGTCACTTTTAATGGAGGCTCTCACAGGGAGAAGGAGGAAAACAAAATGGTAAGGCTATCAGGCTGCTTGTTGGTCTTTAGACTGTGTCATAGATTAGATCAGAAAACGGTTACACGCGTAGCAGTTATTTTGAGCTAAAGACAATTGGGATAGAGGTCATTTCTTGCTTTGTCATCAATAATCCTTAGAAAGATATGTTGGGACTTGCTCTTCCCCATACGGTATGAAGTTTTGAATGGCTAAATACAAAGAACACGTGAGCGGTGAAAACGGTGAACCTTTTACGCGCGGGAGAGCTGGTTTAATTGCTTGAAACATCTGTTGGAAACAAGGCACTTGGTGGAATTCCGTTTCGCCAATTGATATTGTAATGAGGCAACTGGGTCTTTAAGAGGTCTACATACCGATACATTAGTGAGAGGAACATTCCTTTCCTCCTGTAAAATGTTCTATTCTTTTTCATTTTGTCTCAGGTAACGACAGATTTGCATCATAAGTGCACAGAAGAGTTTAAAGGCACATCATCTGCCGCGCCTCTGGCTGCAGGAATGTTTGCCCTCGTTTTACAAGCGAAGTATGTTTGCATGACTACGAGGACTGCTGATGAAGAGTCAAGATTACAATTGTATCGTGCATTTGTGCCTTTTCGTTTGTTCCCCTTACGTCAAACAAAACAAACAAACGAACAGAAAAACAATCATAAAAAATAGACAGCCACAAAAGACCATCAGCTCAAACAGCACGTTCATCTATGGTTCAAGCAGACTTTTAGGAATTGCTTCGCCTTTGATTTACGGGTTTCTCCCTTGCAGTCAGCAATGACAAGCTGCTAAAAAAGACTCCAGATCTGTTTCGCGCTTGACTATATGTTGATCTCTTTTCAGCCCAAACCTTTCATGGCGAGATGTCCAGCATCTTGTGGTTGAAACAGCTCAGGTGACAAGCCCTGTTGACGAAGGCTGGATGAAAAATGGTGCTGGTTACCATTTTAATCACAAGTTTGGCTTTGGGAGGTTAGACGCCGCTGCCATGGTAAGAAGAGCGAAAACATGGAAGAATGCTCCTCCCCAAAGAACATGTCACGGACCTTCCAGTCAGACGCAACAGTAAGTAAGATTTGAAAAAATGTATTCTATGTTAATTTTTTAAGAGTTTGGATTGGAATTTAAATCGAAGAACTGTCGAATGTTTGATATGAAGCAAAATGAAGGACACGCTGATGACTTTTGGTAGTCTTATGAATATATAATTACGTCAATGATCTATTCAATATGAATGGTTTGAAGAAAAAACTGATCCATCGTAACTAACAAGGTCTGAATTTAGAGTTTTGATCTCAGAGGTTCCTCTTTGTTGCTAAGCTGTGTTCAGGTTTTTCCAACATAAAGCGACCTAGAAGTATTTGCACTACTGTAATGAAACTATACTCAACTTGGAGGGGACTTGTAAGCCCTACGCCAATATTTCAAGATACATTGACTGCTGCGAAGAACCTTTAATGGGCTGTGGGATATTTACAACGTTCTGCATCATTTAAGTTTGAAATCGAAGAGATCTGTCAATCTGTCGGTAACAAATCTTCTTATAGAGAAATTCCCGCCGGCGGAACTTTATCTATCACCATCGACACAATAGCTTGTGACGGTACCGACAAAGAAATCAACAAGTTGGAACACGTGACTCTGACCGTCAGCTTTCAACACCGGCGGCGTGGTGACGTTAGCATCGATCTTTTCTCGCCGAGCGGGACTAGGAACGAAATGCTGTCGACTCGGCGTTACGACGATTCAAAGAACGGCCTCCATGATTGGACTTTCATGACCGTGCACAACTGGGGAGAGAATCCTAAAGGAGTATGGGTGATGAATGTAACCGATAACATCGCTACCTTAAACAAGGGCGTAGACGTAAATGGATATCTCCAACACGATACCAGTAAACAGGAAGCGGACGTGGAGGATTTAGAGGAGGAGGTAGGTCAAAGAAGTTTCTGCAAATTCGCCTTGTGTCCCACCCAAAAAAACATACCCTGAGTTCTAATAGCATAACGCGTCCAGATGGGATTGGATACAAAAGGATGAACTCTTACACACATTGATCATTTGTTAATGATATCTTATGTTGATCACAAACGCAAAGGTTATCGATGACGAAAAGAAAACTCAAGAGCTGGAGGCAAACAAAGGTGGAGGGAAAGTTGTTCAAGACAAAGGTGCCACCTGGGATGCACCTTACCCCGAGGGGGTCAAGAAACACAAAATTCACACACCGGAAAAACCAGACAGTTCAAAGGGTACGGAGGGTACGGAAGGTAGGAAAGGGAAAGCAACTGTGCATGCGGAAGTGGAAGATGAAAAAAATAACGGTTAGTATAAGTAACAAACGCAGAAATTCGTGAAATGGTAGATGCTATCTTTCTTGTTTGGTAAAAGACGATTCAGCAATATATAAGACAACTGGTAAGAGTGGACGAAAACTAATCTAGAATAAAGAGCGTATATTGAAAAATAAATGATAGTGCCAAGGCCCGTTCTAGAAAAGAAAATTTCCAGCAATGAGTAACATCGTATTT